TCTATTTGCCAATACTTTAGAAAAAATCTTATAATCTATATTCAATAAAGATATAGGTCTATAATTCTTAGGTAGCGTCAAATCCTGACCCTCCTTTGGTATTAAAGCTATAAAAGCAGTCCTCCAAGTAGAAGGTACCTCCTTGCCCAGCAGTATACTATTAAACAGTTCCTGTAAGGGTTCTATCATTTCTTCAATTCATGTTTTGTAATAAACTGCTGTAAATCCATCTGTACCTGGAGCTTTTCCAACCTTTAATTGCTTAATTGCTCCCTTAATCTCCTCAACTGAAATTAAACTATTTATTTTTTCCCTTTGATTATCAGACAATCTAGGGAAATGTGCCTCCTGTAAATACTTACCTATTTCTCCATTTTGTATTTTTTCAGAGGCATACAACTTAGAATAAAACTCCAAGAAACTCTTCTTAATAAAATTTTGTTCAAATGTCACTTTACCATTATAATCTATTTTCTCTATAGTTCTTGCTTTCTGTTTTTTGCGTAATTGATAAGACAACCACCTGCCAGGTTTATTTGCGTTACAAAATGTGTTATGTTTCATGTACCTTAAACTAGTTGCAGTCTGGTCAGCTATTAACATGTTGAATTGTTCCCTAAGCATAGTTATTGATACTTTTAAGTTATTATCCGACGGATTCAAAATAAAAGCTCGTTCTTTCAATTTAATCTCCTCCTCTATGTCTTTTCGTTTTTGTACTTGCTTTCTCTTATGAACAGTATTCATAGAAATCAAAATACCTCTCATATAAGCTTTACTAGCATCCCAAACTATTGAAATCGGGGTACCTTTATGCCTATTTAAGAAAAAAAATTCTTTCAAATAACCCTTGCACTTCTGCACATTTATATCATATCTAAACAAATTTTCATTCAGTCTCCAGGATCTTCTCTCTCCTTCTTCACGAAGTAGTTCCATCCACACTGGGCTATGATCCGATAATGTCCTAGGAAAAATCTTAACATTCTTCACCCTAGAAAGAAAATCATTAGTTATCAAAAAAAAATCAATTCTTGAATAGGATTGGTGCCTGTCCGAAAAAAAAGTATAATCTTTCTCATCCATGTTTCTTTCCCGCCATATATCCTCTAGTTCCAATTCTTCTTTCAAATCAAAAAAAGTTTTAGGCAATGATGAATTAAAAGCTTTGCAGGAACCTTTCTTATCTTTTCTTGAGTCCAAAACTCCGTTCCAATCTCCCATCATGATAACAG